ACATGCTTTCTCACTGAACATGAGTATATGTTTAAGGGCAAGTGTAGGTAATCTGGCTCCTGCAATGTTCTCCTGGAATTATTTCAAGAAATAATTCACTTTTTTAAGTATTTAAAATGGAGGGTGGTTGTCATAGGCCAAAGGCTGCCTGAAATGTTTCTGGAGTAAGCAATTTTTCAGATACTTATTTCCAACCTTTCCTTAAATGAAGAAATGAAGAGCTTAAGTGTTGTGATTTCATTGCGTTTTTGGGGGGTTTTTGTGTTTTTGTTTTTGTTTTCTCCCAGCCTGGAGAAACTAAAAATGTCTTGTGAGTTATTCACTGTCATTCAGTGTACTGAAGAATAACCCTATTTACTGAATTCTTATATGAAGGTGTGCTACTAGTATTTCAGTATCTGTTCAAAGTCCTCCAATAAGCAATTGAATGAATGACAAGGATATGAGGTAAAATATATTTGTGTGAAAATTATAGTAAGAAAGAAGTTTATTAAGTCAGTTGTAGGCCTCATCTAAAGTCATAGGTTCATCATAGAGTGGTTTGGGTTGGAAGGGACCTTAAAAATCATCTAGTTCCAACTGCACTGCCATGGGCAGGAACACCTTCCACTAGAGCAGGTTGCTCAAAGCCCCATCCAACCTGGCCTTGAACACTGCCAGGGATGGGGCAGCCACAGCTTCTCTGGGCAACCTGTGCCAGTGTCTTACCACACTCATAGTGAAGAATTTTTTCCTAATACCTGATCTAAATCTTCCTGCAGTCAGCTTAAAGCCATTCCCCCTTGTCCTGTCCCTACATACCCTTGTATGAAGTCCCTCTCCAGATTTCTTGCAGGCCTCTTTCAGTACTGGAAGGCTGCTCTGAAGTCTCCCCTGAGACTCCTCCCGGCTGAACAGGCCCAGATCTCTCAGCCTGTCTGCATAGGAGAGGTGTTTCAGGTCCCTGAGCATCTTTGTGGCCTCCTCTATACTTGTTTCTATGGGTCTATGTCTTCCTTGTGCAGGTGGGGTCTCACAAGAGCAGAGTGGAGGGGGAGAGTCACTTTCCTTGACCTGCTGGTCACGCTTCTTTTGATGCAGCCCAGCACATGGTTGGCTTTCTGGGCTGTGAGCACACACTGATGGCTCAAGTTGAGCTTCTCATCAACCAACACCCCCAAGTCCTTCTCCGCAGGGCTGCTCTCAGTCCATTCTCCACCCACCCTGTAGCTGTTCTTGTTCTCACAGGCCCACTTCTCAAGCCTGTCAAGGTCCCTCTGGATGGCACGCCTTCCCTCTGGCATGTTGACCGCAGCACACAGCTTGGTGTCATCGGCAAACTTGCTGAGAGTGCATTAATCCCACTGTCCATGTTGCTGGGAAAGATGTTAAACAGTACCAGTTAGAATACTGACAGCTGAGGAACACCATTTGCTGTCTCCCCTTGATCAAGCCATTGACTGCACTCTCTGTGTGCAGCCATCCAGCCAATTCCTTATCCACTACGTGGTCCATCTGTCAAATCCATGCCTCTCCAGTTTAGAGACAAGGATATAATGTTGAACAGTGTCAGATGCCTTGCACAAGTCCAGGTAGATGACGTCACTTGCTTTTCACTTACCCACCAAATCCATAGTCCCATCATAGAAGGCCACCAAATTTGTCAGGCACAATTTGCCCTTAGTGAAGACATATTCTCTGTCACCAATCATATCCTTTTTGTCCACATAGCACAATTTCCAGGAGGATCTGCTCCGTGACCTTGCTAGGCACCAAGGTGGGACCGAGTGGCTTGTTATATTTCCCCTTGTCCAGTCACTTGGAACTTCACCGGACTGCTACAACTTCTCAAATATGATGGGTAGTGGCTGAGTCATATCATATGCTAGTTCCCTGAGGATGTGCGGATGCCTTTCATTAGGTGCCATGGACTTGTGTACCTTCAGGTTCCATAGGTATTCTTGGACCTGATCTTCTCCTACAGCATGTGGCTCTTCATTCTCCCAGTGCCTGCCTTTGCCGTCTGGAACTTGGGCAATGTGGCTGGACCACTTTTTGGTGAAGACCAATGCAGAAGAAAGTCATTGAGTACCTCAGCCTACTTCACATCCTGCGTAATCTGTTTCCTTCTGAAGAGGGCCCACGTTTTTCCAAGTCTTCCTTTCATCACTGACATGTTTACAGAAGCTTTTCTTGTTGCCCCTGGTGTCCCTGGCCAGATGTAATTCTGTCAAGGCTTAGCTTTCCTAACCTGATCTCTGGCTACTTGGGGAAATTTCTCTGTATTTCTCACTGGATACTTGTTCTTACTTCCACCCTCTAGAGGCTAAAACCATTGGTAAGATGGAACTCAAATATCTAGACATGTCAGCAGCCTCCAGGATGTAGTGAAGTGGATCAGAACAGCTGCACTGGAGAAAATAGGTAGTTCATCTAGCATTTTCTAGCAGCAGTTGGGTTATACCTAAGGAAGAGTAAGACTAGAATGAACACGTGTGGTAGTTCCCCAAGGTACTGTCCCCATACTTGAAGCTGAGTGCTAAGGCTCTTTCACTGGCGCCTTTTTGATTGGAGGATCCTGACAGATACTGACTCTCAGTCTGATGTGGTTGATGTCATATGCTAGAGCAGGGTTAAATAAGATTTCATTAGGTATTTTTACTTTCAGAGTAATTTAGTCATCTAAAGCACCTTTCTCCTTTTCTGCAAAACAAGTAGAAAAGTGGTGATGTAAGCTAGTCAAATTTCTGTTGTGTGGTTAGCTTGGGCTTTTCTGAATACCCTAGTCAATTTTCTTTGAGTGTTTATTGTGCTTTTGTGCAGAGTGGACCTGGCAATGTGAATGTGTGGAAGCCTGGAAGATTCCAGCTATTGGACATTCATCAGTACTTACACATGTAGTTAGAGCACACTCTTAGGTGTTCTCTTCTGATACAGACTTAAGATTATCTAACTTAATGTCACAGTTTCACATGGCTTTAAGGTAACATTGGTTGCAGCATGTTCATTATTCTTGTCTGATTCTGTAACTGATGTCTTTTGTTCAGTGTATAGCTGCTTAATCTCCAAAGCATAGTGACCCAAAATATCCAGGTGATGGTGTGTATTCCTCCCTCCATGCACACATATCCAACTTAATGTCTTATCTCTTCTGGATGGTTTGGATCAGATGAGTTCCTTGTGCTAAGTTTGGAAGTCTGCAAACAGTTCATGATTTGGTAATGGCTCCCTACCACTGTATTTTATTCTTCTGGGCATTTCAACAGAGGCAGCCTAACAGGTGTCAGGAAATGATGCAAGAGTAATCCCTTTTTGTTTACTGGTTTTTATTATTGTTACAGGGCTAACTATTTCTTTGATCATTTTTCTAATCTGAATGCTCTGCCTGCAAAGTCTTGACCTTATGCCTTCTTCTTCCAGAGGCACAATCACCTGCCTGTCCCACTGTCAGATCCAGCCCTGCGCTATCATACTCTCTGGATTAATTATGCTTATGCTAGCTGAGCGATTGCAAATCTGCATTTCTTCTGTTTGGGAGCTTGTGTACAGTGCTTCTGAATACCTTTTGTAAAGATTAAATAGTTTTTCAATAGGAGCAAAGCATTGTGGGAAAGGAAAGAAGCATGCAGCCACGGCAGTTTGACAGACTCTTCTGAGACACCAGTTTTCAGAACCTGGTTTGATCCTTGCTGTCTTTCTTGATATTTTTAATTGTCATGAGTGCCGCTGTTCTGTATTTCCGAAGCTGGCTAAATTTATAGAAGCCTTTCTTTCAGGAGGAAACTTGAAAAGCATGAAGCTTTAATATTACTTTTACCTATATTATTTTTTCTCCTTGCTATTTGCAAGTTCTGATTGTCCTTCTACTGACAATAAACACATAGATATATGTAGTATAGTGCGTTGGAATCCATTTGGAATAAATGCGGAAGCTGGCAGCAGTGACTCCTGAATTAGGAATATGACGTGTAATGTGAAAGTTAGTTATGGTGCAGTCCTGCTGTGGCAGTCCTGACTTTGGATGGAGTTCATTGTTCTGTGGTTGTACTACTGCTTGCTTCTTATCCCCAACCAAGGAACTTTCAGTCATCCTTAAACAATTTTGATTTTGTATCTGCTTTAGGATTTTTTTGAGGGTGCTTTTGTGATTATATGATGGGCTGATTCTGCTTTTAATTGGAAAAAATTAAATACAGTTCCATTTATAGGCAAATCCATTGAATGAAGGCACTACCTATGCTTCCTACAGTTAATTTTTTTTTTTTTCTAGTTACTACAAATCTGATAGATTATACTCTGCCTGATTCAGCTTCTTACCTGTTCTACATGACTTCATGCTCATGTTAGATGATCTGTCTGACCATAGTGGCATTTAATCTCTCTGAAGATATGTTCTACTGTAGTCTTTGTTGGAGGCAGAATTTATCTTTCTATAGGTCCAGCCACTAATTTTGAATGTGTTCAGTTGAATATTTTCGCTTGTTTATAATTGCTTTACTTCAGTGAACATAATGTCAGTGATCTGGTATGGCTTATTAAATATATTGCAACTTTCTAAAATATTAATTAAATTAATGATATAGAAGTGTGCTCATTTCACATTCTGTTAATTTCTGATTTGTTTTTTCTTTCTTCAGAATTGTATACAAGAGCTGCCTAATATGAGATTTAATAATTTAATACAACAATTAAAATGGAGTAGAAATGAAACAATTTTATAGACAGAATGCTATAAAATAAAAACTAAAGTAGGATAAAAGGTAGTGTTTTGTACTACATTACACACATGAAATAATCTCCTCCAAAAGTATATATGCAATTTCTACCGTCTTGAGAGTGTCTTTCAAGTTCTCACACATGTACAGCTTTTTCCTTTTTTCTTTTTTTTTAAACACCCAAACCACAAAAGATAAATATCTGAAAGCAAGATAAATATCCAATACAATAAAACATCAATTTGTTGTTATCTAGTAGGGATAGGGTTGACTAAAATTTTTGTGTCTTTATCTTAAACAGAATGTTGGCTTTGAAAGCTCAGGGAAGAAGCAGCAGGGAGAGAAAAGTAACACAGTGGTAAGTATGTTATTTTTCTTTCCTCTGGGCCAACTGCACAATATATTAAAATAAAAATCCTCTTCTTCATTTATATGTTGTAATAATCACCTCCAAGGCACTTGAATTTTATTCTGCATCATCTCATGTTACTAGGTTTTAGAACTAAAAATACATGCTGAAGAGCTAAGTGAATGATACTTGTGTGCATACAAGTGCCAACTACAAGTGAATGTAGTTGTGTGCATATATAGAAAGGGAAGTTGCAGGAAAAGAATTCTGTTTTAAAGCTCAATATCCATACACATGTAAAGATAAGAATATTTTTTAAAAATTTGGACAAAGATGCTTTGAATACTGCTTTTTCCTCTTGCTGTACTTACTCGTTTGTTGATCTAAAGTGTAGGTGAGCATTTTGTCATTATTTCTCTCTTACTGGAGAGTATACACAACATGAAAAGTATTAAGAAGCCAAATAAAGTTCAATTTTCTGATTAAAGCTCTATGGAAAAGCAACACATGTTCAGAATCAGCTTTTCTCTTTATTAAATGATGCCAGTGCAGATGGCTTTTCCTTCATATTGTAAGGATTTCTAGAGGCAAGTATTTATCATGAATAAAAAGAATGCCCAATAGAATATTTTGTCTTCAGAATTTCCCTATGAATTTCTGTGCAGGAGCCATTATTACCCCCCACCGCCCTCAAAAAAATCCCATACCCAACAACATATGATAGCAGCTTCCATCTGCTTTGATTTTATTAATAGTGCTGCTCAGATTTTGGAAATGCTAATAAGTATTGACACTTCAGTGACTGAAATTTTGAGACTTATTTAAAAATATCAGTTTAAAAGATATAAAATCTTCTGCCTATTTTATCTGGCATTGCTACAAACAGCTTGTACTGAAGATTATAGAGGCATTTGCACATGCTTGCATTTTCCAGCTTTTGTGTGCTTTGGCATTCTCCACTGAGCTAAGAAACTGTGCTGTTGCTTTAGTGCCTCAGCTGTGCTTACTGCTCTGTAAGGTTTGTTGCTTCCTATGGCAAATGACTAGCAATGCCTCTTCCCTTCACATCCTCTATGCTGGTTCATCTCTTTTGACTATATTGTTTTAACTGGAGGAATTAATACAGTATCTCTTCCTTTCTGCTTGAATAGATGTTGACGGTATATGATACATAGCATTTACTCAAACAGTAGATCCAGACATAATCCCTCAAAGGACTGAAGTCGAAGCATAAGCGGTTTAATATGGTTTTATACCTCTTTCAGAGGCTTACCATCTCTTAGTCTGGTTGTTGTGTGTATTTAATTTTCATTGTTTTCTTTGTATAGGAAGTCAGGAACTTGTCCTCTTTGTTTCCATGGATCTTTTTCACAGCAACAATGAAAGAAAATCGAGTTATTTAATGTAGAAATCAGTGGATTCTGAAAGCAAAGCAGTTCTGAAATAGCTTGCTACAGCTAGCTGTGGGATGGATTTCACTTTAATATCCTATTGGGATAAATATTTCATGTTCCTGGCTATGGAATACTTAAAAAAGACAAACACAAAACCACAAACATATTCCATAGTGTAGAAGTATTCTTTAGCCATTTGAAAAGATCATTGTTAAAATACTGAAATATCAATGTCATGGCTTTTTTAAAACAACTCAGTTTTTGAATATTCCATGAAGGTTTGAGGGACTCCTGCAGTTTCCTTCAAAAGCAGTTTGTCATAGTAATTATCTATGAATTTTTATTAAGTGTTTTTTTGGGTTTTTTTAGCATGGGAGGGGAGGAGAAATGAGTGAGATTCAAGCACAGTGGTTTTAAAAATTTATTCCTCTTAATGTTTTTTAATAACACTACAAATACATACCCGAAGAATATGCAATCAAGTCGAAAATCAGAGATGAAGCTCAGATCTAATGCTAATCTCAGCAGCATTGTTAATGGTATACAATTAGAGACTATTCTTCAGATGAAATATTACAGTAGCACTTATTTGGATAGATTGGCTGTCCAGATGGAAGTTAGTTTCAAGGGCTGACTCTGAAAAAGAGCAAATAGAAATGTGTGGGAACTAAGTTATAACTACCTCGACTACAGTTGTGTAGTGAAAGAATGTGTGTTACTGTGTACCTATTATACAGTGTTAGTATGAAAAGTTAGTACAGATATATATAAAAATGCCAAAATTATAATTGTTTGGGTATATGAACATTTTTTTTTTACAGTAAACTTAATCCATAATTTTTCTCATCCCCCCCCTTTTTTTTCCTCTTTTCTATTTTTTTTTTCTTCCTAAGGACATTTCTGTAATGTGTGAGAACACTGTTTTTGAACCAAAATAATGTTACTGATTCCATTACAACTAACTGAAGAGGTTTTATAAAATAGTTTGATGAAGAGCTTCAGATCTTAATTTGTATAGAAGATGTCTGAATATTTTAAAACAAAACAAAATAGAAATAGTAAATTTGAAATCTGGTTAGGATTTAATTCGTAAGTACAAGAAACAGATAATTTAAGCATATGTCTCCAGACTTTACACCTGGCATTTGTCTTCTTGGAGTTACCCCAAGAGAAGCTTCGAGTTTTATTACCAGCTTTGAGTTCTGTATTTCAGCAAGCCAGAAGTAGAATATTGCTGGTTTTGCTTATATCCTAGTAGCTGTTGAGTCACTAAAAGCAAAACTGATTTCTGCCATCTGTGATCCCTTTATTTTCTCAGAAACTGTAGCAAGCATCCTTCATATGTTTGCACTTAACAATTGGTTATTATTACTGTATTTACTAACATGGTGTTCCTCCTGTTACCATTCACCATTGTTCTTTCATGAGTGATGCCTTTTATTTCTTTTGCTCTGAATACTGTATGTGAGCAAGCACAGTGTGTTTTTTGGTGTTCCTGCCCGTGTAGAGGGCATGAAGCAATGGATGCAGTTGAGCATTGTTTTCATATCAGGAGCAGGGAGGCTGAGAGTATAGTTTGACATTAAGATGGTGAAATGGTTCCAAAATCCCTTTATGTCTTACCACTTATTCTCTCTCCCAGAGTGCAGCACTGTGGTTTATTAGTTTGTACTGGCCTGAGTGTTTGCTGGTCTGATTCAGTGAAATGAATGGCATAACCAATCCAGTTTTGCAAAATATGTTTGGGTTTTTTTTTAAAAAGTTTCTAGAAAAGACAGCAAGAAATAGCTTGGGTGACAAAGGGTGAGGAGGTGAAAATACCTTAACTTGTCACTGTGACCAAATGAGTCTTCAAATCTCAACCAGGGAATGCCACTAAACAGAGGGCATATCCCCATCAGGTGCAGCAAGCACAGTACGTGCTATCTTTTCATGTTTCAGCTCCATACCAGTGGCCATTACATTTGAGCCATACTTTGCTCTTCTAAAGAGAATGAGAAAAAGGATCACAGAGAAACAAACTTTCATGTTAGGGCTTGCAAAGTGCTGTTTACTGCCTGTTAAATTAAAACCTCACTGTTCCCATCCAAGAGGACTGGTCTGATTTTAGAGGAAGCCTAAACCAACTCATAGCACCCCCCATCTGCTTTAGATGATTTGCTGATGAACAAGAGGTACCACATAATTTCCAAGATTAGAGAATAGATGATGTGTTCTTACTTTATGGTAAGAACAAAGGGTGTTTTGTGTTCCTTAAAGTACTACGATGTTTAGAGTTTCCCCAGATTTATGCGGACTAGTGCTGTCATTAGACAGAAGAAATGTGTTCAAATTGTGCTATGAGTTTTCACAATTTAGCATCTTTCACCAAGCTAAATAGCCTGTTTCATGGTATCTTCTATGATCTTTAATATCTCTAAATATAGGCTGGTGTTTTTGGTTTTTTTTGTTTGTTTGGTTTTTTTTTACTAGATTGAATATGATTCTTAATAAATAAGGGGTTTGGGGTATTTTTTTCGTAATTCTTTGTTTCAACAGGAGTATGTTGGATCTTCTGTCAGATAGCCAAATTAGCCTTCTTGTATTTGTCAGGTTGCATGTTAGGTCACATGCTCTGCAACATAATCTTTCCCTTTCCTGTGTTTCCATATCCTCAGCTCCCTAATTCTGAACTTAGTTGTAGATAGTGGAGTGGGCTAAAGAGAACTTGACCTGTTATTTTTGTGCCTAGTTGTTTGTGCTTTTCTGTATAAACATCTGATAGCTGGTTTTGTTTTCAGCTCTGCTGATGATGTAACTGGTAAACACCCTTTTGAAAGGCTTGGGGGGTGGGGGAGGTGCTTTCACCAGCTTGAAGCATGAGCAATCACATCCTGTTAGCATCGGACAGGAAATTTAAAGGACTAATGGTACAGTGAAACACTTGCTTTTAGACCGAATTAACAGATACTAGGAACAAAATTACCGTGAACCTAAATTGTGCTCGTAACAAGCCTGAGTTCAGAATTTTCAAAGACGTGGTATTTGGGGGATGTGTGTTTTGTTTTCTGGTGGTGTGGAGTTTTTTGTAGGTTTGGGTTGGTTGGTTTGTATTAAGTGCTCAGCAAAAAGTAGGTAGACATGTGAGTGGACAAATATGTCCCATATATTTCTGGCAGATCTGCAGGTGCTGTTGGGCTGCCAGGTACTTGGATGACAGGGGTGTGCAGGGAATAATCAGAGTTTCATGAAAGAGTGATTCCGCTGGATGATGATGTCTTTTTGGGATTAAATATTTAGTGTGTATCCAACCTTGCTGTTGATCTCACTTTCTTTCAAACTGATGCTTTGCTTTTCTGCTTCCAGTGACTTTATTTTATTCAGTAAAAATGTTTCACTTTTTATAATTGTATTGGCTGCGAGTGGCAAGGTTTTGGTAGTGGGGGGGCTGCAGGGGTGGCTTCTATGAGAAGATGTTGGAAGCTGCCTCTGGAGCCAGTTCCAGCTGACTCCAAGATAGGCCTACCCTGGCCATACCTGAGTCAATCGGTGATATTGGTAGCACCTCCGTGGTAAAGTATTTAAGAAAGCATAACAACCTGCTGCAGAGCAGCATCCAGGAGAGAGGAGTGAGAATATGTGAGAACATCTACTCTGCAGACACCAAGGCCAGTGAAGAAGGAGGGGAGGAGGTGTTCCAGGCACCAGAGCAGAGATTCCGCTGACTGTCATGCAAGACAAGGGGTAATGGTTTTAAACTGACAGAGGAGAGATTTAGATTAGGTATTAGGAAGAAATTCTTTACTGCGAGGTTGGTAAGGCTCAGGTTGCCCAGAGGAGCTGTGGCTGCCCCATCCCTGCAGTGTTCAAGGCCAGGTTGGATTGGGCTTTGGGCAACCCAGTCTAGTGGAAGGTGACCCTGCCTGTGGAAGGGGGATTGGAACTAAAAGGTAATAAGGTCTTTTCCAACCCAAAATATTCTATGATTTCATGTTACTATGAAACATGAAGGGTTTTGTGCTTGCTAGACTCCCCTGATTTTTGGGAAGGAAAACAATGCTATACTTTGTGTTTCTTTCTACCTTCTGTGTATTTACCCAAACTATCCATGGAGAAGTTCTTATTTTGAGCAATAGAAGAAAAGTACATGTTCTGTGTGACATTGCAAGTTCCTGGTTTTGGTAATTGTAACAGTGGACTCTCTGTAGTACATCCTTTTCTCCATTTTATTTTTTCTGCTTGGGCAACTAATGACAAGATAAGTGAACAGAGAGACAGGGATCGAGGGCTGTGTGTTTCTGACTGTCTCTCTCTCTAAATATATATTGCAGAAGAGTGATGGTGTAGAATACTTTCTGCAACTATCCTGCCGCACCCATTTTCTAGTATTAGCAGCCATCTCTGTTGCAGAACGCCAGCGCTAAACAGCTATTCATATATGTGTAGAAGTAAAATTTGAACAAATATAAACCAAGCTGAACTACATCACATTGCACTGTTTCCTACATTTACTTATATGCAGATCTTTTGATTAATTCTTGTTGTTTAAATGTTATAATTAAATGTACACTTAAGTTGGTCAAATCAATGGTTTTGTGGGAGAGTTGTTTATTTGATACTTAAATATGAATTTGTCTGTTTTGGTTTGAGATGTGAGCTGTGAGTTTACTTTAACTGACATGATAATTGACTGGAGATATGACCTGACACTGATGTTGCATGGGCATTTGTTTAATGATCCGTATTTTATAGAGTTGTGGATGCATCCACCCTCACCTCCTCACCCTAAAGCTCAAGATCTCTTTTACAAAATAAAGGAATAAGTTAGGAAAATTAGGTGTGCATGTTTTGCATTGTTAGGCTTTACAAGTTATGTTGCTTCAGAAACTTTTGAGGCTTGAGTAAGTAATACTTGGTGTGAAGAGAATGCCTACTGAAAAAGTGGGGGCAAACAGTGTAATGTGTGCTGGTTTTGAGGGATTTGAATGAGAGTATCATATTTCATTATTTATATGAATCATGTAGCGAACTTTTTCATATTCTGGAAACCAAAACATAATTCTCAGAAGTTGAAATGACTGGGTAAAGTGGGTTTATTGATGGCTGCAGCTGGTATAATATAGGTGTGTCTTCCACTGCTAGATTTCTGATAATCAACTCACACGTACAATCTCTGCTTTTCCAGTCCTGGTTGTTACCAAGGTATATGTCCTTCTGTTTACACCCCTGTTTGAAGAGAAAGATACTGCTGTTAGTACTTCTTTCTGGAGTGGTCAGAAAGACCTCTGCAGGTCTCTGAAGTAATACAAAATGAGACAATACTTCTTTGTTAAATGCTTTTTTGTTTGTAAATGTTTGCTGTGGACCCTCTTGTGTCTTCACATGTGGCCTCTGAGGAGTGGAGAAGGTGTGGGTAGCTCTAAACCAGAGAGCACGTCAGCTTCCGAAGCATCTTTGTCATCTGGCTGCGGGTGGCTGGAGGATGTCATGCTTGGAACCTTTTACACTGTCTCTTTTGCTTACCTTCCCATTCTGTGGGAAACCCTAGCGCAGAATTTGTATTCTCTGAAGTTTGCATTGCAGCACAGTTAAATGTATTTAATTTTAGGTCACTTTTTATTTAAAGAACATGGCTGGACTTTTACAGGAAGTGTTAAGTGTTCTGATAGATAATCAACATTGTAACAAAATCTTAGCAACATCTAAGCATTGTTAATAAGAAAGTCTTGACATCCCACTATCTTAATGAAGAGTTTCTTCCCTCTTTTTAATGGATGGATGTAGAATCTGACTGCACACAGCCTAAGTGATAAGTGGCACTTCTCTTTAGAGAAAAAGCTAAAGTACAGCAGTCCGTTGACCTGTTGTCATATAAATTAAACATACTGTGAAGTACTTGGCAAGCTAGCTGCTCATAGAGGTTAATCCAAGTGCTTGACTTTTTTCTTGTCTTCGTATGAGGAGGGGTCTTGCAGTCTGTGACTTCATGTAGTGCAGCAGCCATGGTATTTTGTTTTCTCCATGTGTTACTAGCATACTGTCTGAAAGTTTAAGTGCAGTCTGCTAAATGTGTCTGACTTTTTTGGCAGTTGGAGAAGAAAGTTTCCTGTCATCAATCCAGAAGTTGAAATATAATTTCTGCAATTCCAAAAAGATGAAATTTTTTAAAAAGCATACTTTAATTTGCAGTGTTGGTGGTTTGATTAAGAAAATAAATATTCAGTGCTGTTTTGGAAAAGTATGTATTTTTAGACCAGTTTCCTGAGGAAGTAAAGCTTACATGATCATGTTGTCTGTCTGCACATGTTAGTCCTTCCTGAAAAATTGTTGAGTCTGTCATCTGATTTCAGAAAAACTTGAGGTGACATTTTGAAGAATAATTTTTTCTGATTTTTGTGGAAATTCATTGCTAATCAGAGGAAAGAGACCTAAACTTGTGTTCTTGCTGAGGAGGAAAAAGGCAGAACAAGCCTGGTATATGCTGTCAATAATCAGGCAGTTAGCATCATTTAAGTTGGCCATCTCTTGCTGAGTAAGAATATTGTAAAAGCCACAAAGAGTAGAGGGGACTGTTGTAGCAATGAATGAGAATGAAGAAGGATACACCTCCATAGCAAGGTGAAATTTCCTTAGTTCCAGAGTGCGTGCAAAATGTGTTGAAGTTTTCCAAAATGAATGGAGTTGCAAAAAGAATTCACTGCTTTATGTGCACCTGGTAATCTTTCATTTTAAACTGTAGATACAACAGTTGGTAGAAACTACACTGGTTCTTTCTTATATTCTTTCTTTAAACAAGGGATTTGAAATTGAGGTACATGAATTTAATCTTACCACCAAAAAAAAAAAAGTTGGCTTTCCTACAGCTACATTTAAATACTCTATAGAGGGTGGATTTTATTTTATTAAGCAGTATCATCCCGGTAACCTTTGTGAAAGTAGGGCTAACCTATGTTGTGAAAACACAGTTGACACTTCAGAACTGCTGCTTAAAAATTCTCTGTAATGGAGGGCTGTGTTCACAGGTAACAAGTTACAGGCTAAATTTTGACTTTGCCTTCTGGTGTCTATATGTACTTTTACCCCATTTAATGCTACTATAGATCTGTTATGTCTAAAAGAAAATAAATACTCTCTCTCCACACCCTCATGTATGCGTATACATGCACACATATGCAGATATGTATACACTTCTTTCCTTTTTAAGTATTTAGCAGCCAGTGGAAGTTGGAGCAGCTGCTCACGTGAGTATTTCTGAAATTGTCTTGGTTTTTAACCACACCAATTTCTGTTTCACAGTGCCTGAAAATGACAACAAAGCGGAATTTGTTTGTGCGGCTGGTGCCATGCCGCTGCCTGCGCGGAGAGGAGGAAACAGTCACTACACTTGATTATTCTCACTGCAGCCTGGAACAGGTGCCTAAGGAGATTTTTACTTTTGAAAAGACCTTGGAAGAACTCTATTTAGATGCTAATCAGATTGAAGAGCTTCCAAAGGTATGTTGGGTGGTTTTCCTTTTAGTTACATTTTTTAACTCTGTAACTTCATTAACATTGTAGAAGCTGACAGTGTTCAGCTTCCCTCTTTAGCTTTTAGGCTGCAGTTTGCCAAATATTTTTAAGTAAACGTTGATCCCAGAGAAAGCAGCCCCAGTAGAAGGAATGTTTATGTGTTCCAGCTTGACTAGTTTGCTGCATGAATTGGGATGAAAATGCTTGAGCAACTGACCTACTCCAAGAGACGTACATACCAGAAGCAGCTGGCTATTTTATTTCTCTGGCAGTGTATGCCGAAACTGACTTAACTGCATTCAACAAATTGCAGCATTATTTTGAATCTCTGATAACACATGAAGATCAGAAGTAATAAGATTAATGTCTTGTTCAAATCTGTGCCCACAAAAGATAGCTAAAATCTTAAGTTTCTGTTCACTTGAAGTCCTGCTTTCTTCTTAGGTACATGACTTAAGAGACTTTCTGAAGTATCCCAATTGCTTAAATCAAAAAACTAGGAGAGATAGAATGCCAATTTGGTTATAGCTTTATTATAGAAGATCAATATTTGTTGTTTGTTGTAAAAACTGAAGACAAATTTCATAGCTTACTATACTATAGAAAAGAATGAAAATCTTTGCTAGCGAGACTTTTGAGAAGTATAAAGTGATCATTGCAATAGACTAATTTCTGTTAGGAGGTCCTGTCTTGGTGGGATTAAAAACTTAGTAGTAAGATGAAAGACTTAATATTTAAAATTGTTTTGTCAGAATTGTGTGCAAATCTTCACTGTCAGATAGGACAACCATGGAGTGCTGTGTTAGATTTTTTGGTAAATTTGCTATAACTGTATCAGGTTTTGCTGGTTTAGATTTTTTTTTCAAGATAAATGGAGCTAATAAGGAAATAAAACAATTTCAGGATAATAACTTGAAAATTATCAGAAGCCCTAGATTCCAGTAAAGCTGACTTAAGCCACCTGAGTGCTCTTGAAAATCCAATCTAAAATGCTCTTGAGAAGCCACCAAAGAAACCACTTGTATTTGTATGCTGAATACAGCTAACAACATAAAGCTAAAGCTAGGCATTTTGCCGAAGTCCGTTACAGTTTAGAACTTCCACTGTTTTATTCTAGTCTTTTCCCAAGCAGATATTTCTTTAGAGTTATTAATTTTAGGTTTTAGTAACTTGCATTTTAAGACTTTGTATCAGCCTTTGAGGATTTTTCAGAGGATTTCAGAACTTAATTCCTGATTCTTATTCTTTATTTGAGAAAAACAAAATTAAATGCTTAAAAAAAAAAGAATAAAATACCTTTCTTAGAGGGGTGAAAAAAATAATCTTAATTTCTCTTGTATTAAGAACTAAGCAAATATCTTCCAAACTCGTAATTCTCTAAAAAATTTCTTAACCTTAAGAGGGAAAAAGATATACTGTAGTGATCAAATGGATGCACATTGAGTTTTAAACTAAAGCCATTTGTCTGCTTTGCCTTCCTTTTTTGTTAATTGCCATTTAATTTCATTAGTTTCTGTATAAAATTGAATTTTGTTACATGGGTAAACTGAGAGGTGGGCAGTCTACTACTTGCCCTGGTCTAATCTGTTTAAATTATCCACGTGATTACAAAGTCGGCTTGGAAAATGTTTTGTTCCTTTTTGCTTTTCTTCTTCTAGTAGGTTAGCTTGCTTCATGTTAGTGCATTTGTACATTATAGTAAGTCATCCTTATAGGTTTATTTTTGAGAAACTAGCATTTTGTTTCCAGCTTTTAAGTTATTTTTGTCATTTTTTACTACCCTTTCAGTTTTCAAAAGAAAAAGACCCCACATATAAATTCAAATTCTCTAAAGGAAGCAAGCAGAGAGATTAGGGACTAGTGAATACATAGTAGAAGTGTTTTATTTAATAATTTGACATAAATAGTGATCTCAAAACTATCCATTGAAGATCTGTAAGGGAAGGCCTGCAAAGTTTGAAATGATCCTAGTTGATTTGGAGGCAGAGTTTCAAGCTGGGTATGCCTTTTCTCTAACCCAAGCTTTTATTCACTCTTTTAACTCTGAAAAGACTTCTAATTAAGTCATCTCAGATGAAGGGTGTGGTACTTATTAGGCTGTCTCCAGCTTTCTGAAGCCTGGTTAAGACATTCCCACTCTTCCCCTTTCCTCTTTGCCCCTGATTGTGTGTTCTTTTCCATGTTGTGCAGTCTGCTGCCCTTTGCATGCCACAGCACAACTAGTTTGGGGCTGTCTTGTCAACGTGATCACTGAAATGGTCTGTCAGTGTGTGGGTTTGTTTTGTTTGTTTGTTTTTTGTCTTGGTTTTGTTTTGTTGTTTTTTCGGTTTTTTTTTTAATTTCCTCCAATCTTTTCAGGACTCCAGGATACTTAAAAAATCCATTCTTACAGTGTAGTCCTTAATTTAGTTGGCTGGCCAAGAGGCACAGCATGAACAAACTGTGGTGGAGAGAAAGGTAGTGGTAGAGAAGGAATTTGCTTCACATAAAGCACTGGTGTGTAGACTCAGTTTCAAAAGTGACAAGACATTTGAAATGCTTTCATCTTGTGTGCTAAAGCACGTCTGAAAAAGTACCCTGTTTATCCCAAGCGCCATGGTATGCATTTTTGCTGAAAAGCTCAAACTGTTTTAGTTTTCCCTTTCACTTTGCTGTTTGGAAGAAACTGGAATTCTGCAGTAAAACAGTCTTTAATTATATGACTTCTGGTGCTTACTAACAGTAATGATGATCTACTTAATCACTGAATATGTAAACATTAAAAAAGAACAACGACAACGACAAAAGGAACAACTACAAAGACAACACCATATAAAATTCTCCTCCCCCCATTTTCCTTTAGGGATCTTGCAATTCCTTGTGCTGCATTTGCTTCCACCTGACTAATTGGGGAAATTTCTAGTGATTCCAAAAGTCCAGCTTATTGTGTTCAGGGATAAGTTTTAAGTATATATTCTTGCTTGAACTACTGAAATAAAGGAGTGGCTCCAAAACACATGACCTCATCAAAGTTCTCCTTCTAATATAATACCCTAAGTAACTTGTAACTCTTCAAAGCCTTAATGATATCAACTAGTTCTAACAGAGGCACGTTTCTGAGGAATTGGAAACATTAGTAGGCAAGTTAAAGCTCATTCCTTGAACTGTCCAATTGCTAATTTATGTCTGCTTTTGTTCTGGGGTGGGATATGCAAATGTTACGTGAATGGGGCTCTTTAGACAGTCTGTGGTTGAAATAATGGCCTTGTAATTGAGAGAGCTCCAAGAAATTTTGCTTGAAGTAAGCCCATTGTTATGATGTTGATTGAGATAAATTTTTTAAGTCGTAGAACACTTAATCTTTTCTCAGAATTCCAGAAGAAAAGAACACTAAGTCCAGGTACTCATGTGTTACCCAAAATTGCCAGGAAAGCAATATTCAACATCAATTGTTCAGATGAACCTTTTCAACCACCTGCTTGGAGATATTTTGTGCTATCTATAAGTTTCCTATATATTTTGGATGAGTAAAAAAAGATTTTTCTTCCATTACACTAATATTAACTTGCCTTATTTTGTCCACTGAGTGAAAGTCTCAAAGTACCTTGCATATATTGAGATATTCTTGATACAAATTGTAATCTCCTCTGTATATCTGCATTATACAGTTTTCTATATGCTTAGATCAAATTTTCACTAGTTTTCATCCTAATAGATTTTTGTGTACTTGAGCTGGGAAACATGGAAGGGGAAAAAGGTCTTGTAAGATAAAAAAGAATACAATTTTAACTTTTAGAGAAGAGTAGGAACAGGATTTGACTCAAATCCTCTGTTCAGAACTATTTGACTTTTTTAAAAATGTGGGATTTTGGGAGGTTTTTGTTGGGTTTTTTTGTTTGTTTTTTTTGTTTGGTTGGGGTTTTTTTGTTTTTGTGGGGTTTTTTGTTGTTGGGTTTTTTTTGTTTTTTTTTTAGCAAACTGTAAATTCCTCTGGTGTATGACATGGAATGCCTATTATAGAAAACATTTTGCAATGTTTGCAGGACTGTGTAACTACAGGTCACAGTTTCTGTGATACTCGAAGGAATTTGTAGGAAGATTTAAGCATAGCTGCTGGCTTGTTGTGACTGCTATTTTTTGGTTTCCAAAGCATTGTAAATGTAATCAGTTTTGAATAAAACCAGTTAAATAAAGTTTTTGTAGTCAAAACCTAAATAATCTGGCCTTCAAGCTGTGAGGTCAGAAGTTTAAAGGGATTAAAACCAAAAGCTTTATAGAGAAAACTAAAAGAAAATCACATTCACTTTTTTTCTTTGTTTCAATAGCAACTTTTTAACTGTCAGTCTCTGTACAAGCTGAGTTTGCCAGACAATGACCTAACCACATTGCCAGCATCCATTGCAAATCTCATTAATCTCAGGGAACTGGATGTCAGCAAGAATGGTAAGTCGCTTCACTTTTTATATTGGGGTAAAAGCCAAACTGCCACTCACTGTACAAAGACACTAGTGAAAATGTAATTTTTAGAAGCTGTACAACTAGTAGATTTTAAACTACTACTGTAAATAGCTTCTTAACAGAAAAGATGCTCTTTTATGGTATGGTTGTGATTTTTAATTGTATCTCTCAAGTTGATTGGTTTGTACTTTGAGATTCATGCCTGAAAACTGGTATTATAAAAGTATTTTATATTCTCTCAATATGCATATGCTCATATTTATTACATTTAGTGGCTTTCCTCATGTTTCACTATACTGAAGAGAGTTTGCACAAGAATTCGTAAAATTTTGCTGGATTCTGTTGTTATTCTTTGTTTCATGTGAAAAATGTTTTCAGTTTATTTTAATGAGCTCTCTGGAATGAGCAGCCAGTAAGGACTTGGCCGCTTTGCTGTCCTGCTCTGGGGATGGTAACCTCTGCTGCATGGGGAAAAGTGTCTGTGGAGAGTGACTGGTTCACTTGTCTGACTTGTTAAAAATCTATCATTCTGTGTGAGTCAGCCTTTTATAATTTATGAAACATTGTCAGCCAAGTATTGTATACATGGGGTTTTATTAATGATACTGCTTTGGCAAGGTGGCAGATTGAAACTGTGAGGAAATTGAACTAACTTATGTTGTCATCAGACTTGGTTGTGTGGCCTATTTGAGAGAAAAGAAAAAGTTCAATCATGCTAATTGATGAGGATATAATAGTTTTGTCTTACTAATTCAAAGTGAAGTAAAAGGACCTCCCCTTGAGATCATATTTGAAAATAAGAATTACATAAATATGCCAAAGATTTTATTATATTAAATTCATTGCTTTATTTGGACAGCTAGCTAATTGTGACTCCAGAAAGTTAAGTGAGCTCTGCTTTATTAAGAAAGTATTCAGTTGTTGCAGTGTTGGCATTCTCCTTGATTGTCCATTGTAGCCCAGCCTCTACTTAAACTGTTAGTTTATTATTTCTGCCTAATGAACACAGCATTTAGTGTGATAAATTGACCTGATTGTTACTGCTGTGTTCCTGGTACAAGTGGATTAATAGTCTTTCTCAAAGAACACTGGCCTTAAAACTTTCATAGTGACACACAACAGAAAAATAATCATCTTTTGTCCTAGCCTGAACTGTTGAAAGGATTAAGTGTTTCAAACACAAGGTCTCAATGCAGAAAACTTAAAAGCAGCAAAAGGGCATTGGAGTTCTAGTGCTGGCAAATTTCATAGCTCACGTACCAAAATAGGCAGCTGGTCACTTACCAGCCAGAGAGTTCCTTGCCCATCCAAAAAGGCATAACCTTTAGTTAAGCCTTCAGAGAGCTGTTGAAAGAGAACTAGTTCCTCTGAGGCATATAAAGAATGTAAGGAGGCAATAGCTGAAATATATGCTATACTAATTCCAGTAGATAGTGTAGCTCTGTTTTCTAGGGTTTGTTTTGTTCTTAACACCTTTAAGAGAAATGCCAGGATGCAAACTTACTTATGTGAACTATTCTTATCTGCCTGTTCTCAGTCTTAGCACAGTTTGGGTATCTTCTCTGCCTAGTATTGCACATCAAAAATAGTCCTGAGTTCACATGCTTGTTTACTTGGGACATCTTGTCTCCCACTATTGCTGAAAGCTCTGTAAAACCCCAAATCAGGGTCCCCATTTGTTCCTGTTGAGTGACCCTAAGAAATACTGCTATTTATTCTGTAATAAATTCGGTATTATTTAGGACTTCAGTTTCTTGGCTGAAGTGCCTTTCTCTTTCTGTTTCTCTATCTACTGTTGCAATCACAGAACATTTTTCTCTTGACAACTGCAAGCCTATTCTCTCCTCTTGAGCCTGCTTTCCTCTTGGTAAGAATTTACTGCTCAGTTTCCCACCTTCCATGATTGTTCTGCTGTGTGCCTATAATAGCGCCAAATAGGGAGGGGGTTTACTAGTTTTCCAAGACTAGCAAACAGATAAAAGTACCTGATTCTTCCTTTGTCTTTGTTAGATATTGAAAGACTACAGTGTGGAAGCAGTGGGCTTTGTGGGAAACACAGGGATTGATTTCTCTTTTATTAAATAAATACATAAAAAAATACTGGAGATTAATCACCAGTTTTGGTGCCTGATGATCAGATATGCCAAATTCTGAAATAGCTGAGTGTGTTTTTCAGATTGCTGTACTTGTGATAGTTCCCGTGGTTTTCTTGTAGTATTGATATACCGTATTTTCTTCTGATGGGGATGGAGCTAAATTATGGAGTGCAGATGCCTTTAGATCAAATATGCATTTAGTTTTGAATGTCGTATTTTAGAAGGGTAGTTACTTAGGCTTCAGTTTTCAAATACAAGTGTACATAAAATGTGATAGGATTTTCATGTAAGATAGTTGAGCTGTTTGTGGCATAGACATAATCAAATGTATTGACCAAAGAGAAGTATTTAATTTTCTAAAGAGCTGATACAAAAATGAAGAATGAAGCTTCAAGTTTAAAGCATGTTCACATTACCTGATGAACTGTGGAGTCTGGCTCACAGAGGGAGACCTCTTGCACGAAGAAGCATACAGCTTTCCAGTAGAACTAAGTACATATATATGTATGTGTATAATATTTGACATTTAAATGAAAGATCAAAATTGTAGAAATTCTTCAAGATAGCAGATTCATTACATAAAAGGTATTAGTCCAAGAAAGCAATCTTTATGATAATAGGTCTTGTCTTTTTCGTTTCAGATTTAAATGTCTTAATTTCATATATGCAATATATAAAATTGTGTAACAGAGACATGGTAGATGTGCAAATATGGATACTTAAGAATATTTAATAATACTGAAACAGAACAAGGATTCATCTAGTTTAGTGTCCCATCTCTAACAGTGACCGAAAGCAGAAGCCTAGGGAAGATTTAATAAAGCACAGAAAGCTAGATGTGTTTTTCCCTGTATGCTCCCCGCGTCCAGCACCTTATTCAAGAAAGTCCCAGTGTCTAGCATCTTACTCAAGAAGGCCTGTTATTCTGGCCTTCTTGAGCCAGACAGGGTAGGAGTTTTAATTTGTAGCCTGCATTTGGCTCCTCTGTCAATGTATCTCATCTTTTCATGAAGTGATGTACATTTCAAGGCATGTGCTGCGTTTTGGAGTATAAGCCTCTGATGTCTGTGTCTTACGGAGCACACAGAAGTCTTTGTACAAGCATTTGGTTTGGAATATATTATTCATGGCTGTTGAAGAGGTCGTGGCACAGATGTAGCCTAAAATACCGAACTGCTGCTGTATGTGCAGCAAGCATGAAGTGGAGTTAATTTAACTCTGCCTTTAGTCTTGGCAAAGGGCAATAAATCCTGTATTTTTTTGGTTTTGGTAGTGAGTATATCGGTTCACGGCACCTTAACCTGATTCCCAAGGCTATTATAAACCCTCAATATCAGAGGTATTCCATTGCTTCTTTTCAGGTATGCTTCAGCTTTGAAGCTTTTAGCTGAAGCTTGATTCTAACCTAGTCACAAAGACGAAATGATACTTGGACATATGGTACAATAAATAAATAAATTGCATTCCTGTGCCAGAAATTACATCCTGTGAGAGACTGAATTTTTAAGTTCTCTATTATTCAGGCCTTCGAAGGATTAAATAGCAAGATTAGAAAATAACTAGCAAGACCAAAAGGAACATGGTGTTTTGGAAATCAGGGTATCTTCAGTAGTCTCTTAGATATTAAGAAGTGGTTCTCTTTCACTGTGATGTTGAAGAGAATTTAAACATGTCAGTTTGTCGGTCTGTATTGCAGGGAATCTTCATGGAAACATACACAAACTAAACCTAAGAAAAGAAAATCCCCCCACACACACTCCACATCCCCTGCCTTGAGGCATATCTGCCTATAAAATTATTTTAAGTAATTTTAAATAATTTTGTTAACAGATGCAAATTTAGATCAAATATGTTTTCTTCATGTTTTGAAATCATCTGCTGATTTGGCAAACTACCTGTAGTATGCTGTGTGCCAGAAGTTGAGGAATTGGAGAACAAGAATTTAAGAGCGTATCTAGTCTTATGTTGCCCATCTGGTGCACTTTATAAATATGGTTTTTCAACAAATTGAGAATTATTCATAGTTAATAGAGGGAGACAGATCCAAGTTTTATTTTCTGCAGGGAGAAGTAAGAGAGGAAGATCCTGAATACAAAAATAACTTGCCGTATATTTGTTATTTCTCTGCTTGTACTGGAGAGGGATGTAGGGGTGGGAGGAACAGATGGGAGCAGGGGTTTATATCACCCATGATAGTGAAGTAAAAAATAAAAGACCGGCTCCTGCATCTGTAGTTTTACTATGTTGTGTCATCATACAGAAGTCATAAATTTACCCTAAATATAGGCTGCTATTCTATTTGAAGTTCTTTATTCAAGTATTCATAGTATTTTTTCTTAAATATGTTGTCTATCTTATTAAAAATACTGAATAGGATCTGTCTCTGCGGAATGAAATGGTCTCTGTGTACAAGAGAGGATGCGAACAGAATTGAATTTCAATGCAGCTGAGGTCTTGACTGTGGAATTTGAGTGTTCATATGTGAAATTCTAAAATAAGTTGAATACAAATATCTTCCTGGACTCAAATTTTTATACCACAGAAAAGGCATTATAGGAGTAATTATGTGGGGTTTAGATGTGGGTTTGCGTGTAAATTGAGAATGTACCTTTTAATTTTATAAAGGCATGTGCTTTGAGTGACAGTCATCATGTATCAACCAAAAGTGACTGGACAGGTAACACTGAATTTGCAACCCAGTGTGGTAGGGGATGTGGGACAGGAGGGGAAAGCAAAGCATCATTACATGATTATGTTACACTTCAGTTTCAGGTTACTCTGCAGGCTTACACAGAGTCCAGCAGAGTAAGCGAGTTACCATCTCCCAACCATGACTTAGCCATAGTCGAAAACCACCTGAACCTTGGAAATTCTCCAAGACAGCATTAT